TGCGTGTCCCCACAGAGAAAGGGTTTTTAACAAGATGGCGATCCAAAACATACTGTAAAGATTATTTAGGAATGGATAGGAAAGCAGAATTTTAAGCTAATTTTCGCTCCATACATATAGAGTCTATATATAAATCCTATCCCGACTTCAATCCTATTGAAAATCTGTGTTCAATAGTGAAAAGACGGCTGGGACAGTATGATGCAGCCCCAACGAACATTGACAGCTTATGGGAGTGCGTAGAAGCGGAGTGGAGCCAATTTCCGAAAGAAATGATTCAAAGTTTGGCTGAGAGCATGCCAAAAATAGTCAACAAAATTATTGCTAATAAGGGTTTTGGACTAAATATTAAAAATGTTTAGTTTTTTTTAGTTTTTAGTAGTTTTTTTTTTTAAACGTGCAAAATTGAGTTTATGTGGATTTTTTCGGTTTTTTATTTCTAATTTTTTGAATTTTGCTAATTTAGCCTTGCAACTTTTTTGTATTTGTTAAGAATACACTAATAAACAAACACACAAAAAAATTTGTTGATTTGCTGGTATGGTTTGATTTTTATGCGTGATGAAAGTCAAAGTTCTGTAACATTCACTCATTTTTGCTCGGTACTGTACATATGTAAGGCAACAACTAGTATATTTGATGAATGCGTTATAGCATAATATAACATAATTTGAATTATGCAAACAATTAACCAAGCGCGCACTGTGACAGAATTCTCAAATATATGTATGTATATAGAAATAAACAAGTTTTTATTATTTTACAACACATGGGAAACACTTCAGCTGCAGCTTGCAAAAACACATTAATTTCTATTATTAATATTATTTTATTTTATTTATTTCCTTTTTTGTATTAATATTTATTATTATTATAATAATTATGTACATCTAATTCAAGACTTATTTTCCATTAATTTCGAAATTCTTACCATTATTCCGATCGAAGGCCTTTAATGCAAAGCTCATTCTGTTTTAGTTTCTCTTCTCTTCTCTTCTGATTCGCACGGTTGCGAGTTACAGTAACAGAACAACTACATAACTCTCGGCTCATTTCTCTCTCTTTCTGTATCACTGTCTCTCTCTGTCCGTCTATCTTCTCTCTCTCTCTCCATCCCTCTCTTTCTTTCTTCAGAGGCCACAAGCAAGTATGTCTTGGCTCTCCGACTTACTTTCTCTTTGCTCCAGTCCAACGCAATACGACGACGACAACTCATTCTCATTCGCACGCCGTTCACATAACTTAAAACGTGCTTTTTACATTATACACAGCATCCACAGCATCCACAGACGGGCATAGACAGGCATAGCAAGGGCCATCGACTTCGCGGCTTCATCTTTGCATTCTTGACTGCTGAGACAGCAGCAGCAGCAAATTCTCCGTTGCTCTTTCTCTCTTTTCCCTACTCCGCTATGTTGCTTATCGTCCCACAGCCGTCACAGCGTAGAAGAGTGAGACCTGAACAATTTTATGGCATGTTAACTGTCTCTGGTATTGATCACATAAAGCAAATACTGCACGGAGATTGCGACGCAAGGGGCTGGCGTGAAAGTGCGTGCGAGTGAGTGAGTAAGCATGATACTGCTTCACTGGCATGTCTGTATGTGTGTATGCATGTGTGAATACGTAGAGACTGCTGTAATTAATCATTGGTGGCTATATGAGGTCTCTTTCCATCCCCATCCCATTAGTTCTACATTGTCCCCTAGTGTCACCAATCACGCGGACCCGCAGCTTGCTTCTTTTTATTATTATGAATTGGGTTAATCGTTACATTATTTCCTTTTCGTCTGTTACACCATTCGTGCCATTAATAGCCGCAGCGACTGCGATGCCAAATGCAACATAAGTCAGCCATCAATCAAGGCGAAAACGGAAATAAATATAGAGGAAGCGTGAGCACTCTTAGACAGAATAGAATACCAAAATTTGCCGCGGAAGTACGTCGAGTTATGCAGCGGACTGAGCGCCCGCGTCTCACGCATGTGCTAGCAATAACAACAACGCCAACAAAACAAATACATAGAGAAGAAGAAGCAGCGCCCTGAAGGCAACGAGTCAGTTCTTTTAACCTAGTGCCCAGTGCCCCAACCCCCAACCCCAAACCCAATTACGAAAACAATAACAAGAGAGTCTCCACCATTGACTGACAGCCAACACGTGCTGGGCCAGCAAGGGTGCCCTAGTCGAGACTGCTCGACTGTGAGATACCCTGAAGGCTGATATTCCACACCGATTTCACTCGTACAAGGCAAACGACACATAGACCCAAATGAACGGGAAGTAATAATATTAACTAATCGGAATAACGAAAACAATTTTATAGCATAATACAAAAATAAATATATATTACTTGTGGCTTAAATATTTGATACCCTCAGAATACATATACACCTAAGCAATAGGATACACCTAAGTCAGGATATTTACTGACCCATTAGACACCATAAATGTTATATTCATCAAAACCCAAAGATATATATATTATAATGCCACTGCAGTGATGAGTCGACTTGGGCAGCATTTATCTGCCGGCCGGCATTTGCGGAGAGTAATGGTGCGATATTGCATATCGTAGTGCCATGCCACATGTCCCAAGCTGCATGCCAACTGATGTCTCCATGCACACGCACTCACACAGACACCCACACCCACACGGTGAATAAATGCCCAGACGGTGAGTATGCAATTAGTGACTAACGCGCTTGATTTCGCCGGATTCAATCCTCTCACTCTTTCTATCTGGCTCTCATTACATTTATATACATATATATTTATCTTCTCTCTCTCTCTCTTTCTCTGCTGCAGCAGCAGTCGACGTTGTCGTCTCCCGTCAAGTTATTATTATTGCAGTTGCAGTCGTTCTTCTTGTTATTTTGTTGCTGTGACAGGCGCGCCATTTGTTACACATTATTTAGGCTGGGCGCTTTTCTTGTTTTTTGGAATTTTCTTGATATTAATTGCAGCGTGAGTGGCTGGAAAGTGGGCCATGCGGAAATACCATTGAGCAGAAATGGGGAGCGAAATAAAACCAACTGTCAATTATTGACGGACAGGGAAAAGTTGTTCTCCTCCCCCATTCTATTCCATTCCATTCCCAAATTCCAATTTCTAGCACGATGCTGTCGAAGGATCAATCAGATCTGTTTCAAAAATAGTAATATATGTAATTAATAATTGGTTTTTAGTCTTTCATAGGAATTGGTCTACCATCGATCTAAATGCCTCCAATTATCTGTAATCTGAATGTCATCGAACCAACAGGGAGACCTGGCAAGAAGAGAACATTGAATGTGCAATGTGGACTGTGTATGAATGATTTATGTTATTTACTGTTTGTTATGCATTTCAGGCTGCCGGCTGACTCTCGATTCGATGAAGTTTCTTTTGCTTTCGAAAGATCGGTAAAATCGGTTAGACATTAAGATGGGAGAATGAAATGACAGCATAAAAGGGCAAATTGAGCTGAAGGAATGGAATGAATAAATAGATAGGCAGTCGGGTTTCCTTCCTTTAATGGCTTTGTTAAAAGGAGGCTTGGCAGACCCCACAAAGTATACATATTCTTGATCAGGGCGACGAGCTGAGTCGATTTAGCCCTGTCCGTCTGTCTGTCCGTATGTTTGAACGCGTCGATATCAGAAGATATAAGAGCTAGAGACTTGCATTTTTTTAAATGACAGCATTTTTTTATATACAGCGCAGATGTCGAGTTTGCTTTTAAAATTCGATAAAACATCCCGTTATATTTTTATCGAATAAAAACATTCAAGTTCAAATCAGATGCCACTACAGCTAATTATGACTGATTTTTCATTTTTTAAATTTATCAAATATTCAATAGAATATGTAGATCATATGCTGAAAGTTTCATTAAATTCCGTCAAGTCAATCGACGCAAAAAAATAATAAATATTAACAAACACACGTCCAGCAGCTACAACAGTTTCGAATACGTGTGCACACATACATTTTTCTATTCAGTTTTGTCAACGTATCTTCAACAAGTGAGTGAGTGAGGCGTAGTGAGTAGGGGCGTGACGTTCGATCCAGAAGGCTCGGGTTCGAACACAGCGTGTGCAATTGATTTTAATTTTTGTAATTGTTTCAAAATATTTATATATTTCATGAAATGACTTCTATTTCTCCAATATTTTTAAATACATCGAAATTGAAATTTTAATCATAGTAAATGTGCAGTTTTATTAGTTTGGTTCAGGGTAGTATCGAGCACTCTCGACTAGAGTTTCCCTACTTGTTATACTCATTCACGAAAGTGAATCAGTATATTGGTTTTGTGCAATGTCCGTCTTGCTGTCCGTCTGTCCGTATGAACGCAATCTATTTCGGCGCTATTGAAGCTAGAGACTTGAAATTTGGAACACATACTCGTGTATATCTCCGATTTATAAAGTGTTAAAATTTTCCCGATCCGCCCACTAGGGGCGTGGCAAATCGGAAAATGCATTTTCCGATATACCAGAAATCATGTTAGTTAAAAAGCTAGAATACTGGTAGCCTTCTCTATCGATACCCCAAAAAATAATTTTTACGTCTCTTTAGGGGCGTGGCATATCAAAAAATACTCTGTAATTTTCACATTTTTTGAGCGTAAGAATTCAAAATTTGCATTTAGGTTACCGGTTGCTTGTTCTAAGAACTGGCCAAAAATGAGAAGCTTACGCCCAGTAGGTGCGTGGCAAATCGGAAAAACCTGTATATTCTACAGTATTATAGCGAAACTTAACTACTTAATTGTTGATGGGATGTGAATGAGTATTCCGCAGTCGGTAACGCTCGACTGCAACGTTCTTACTTGTTTTTTATGTTACTTTCTTTAGGAACTTTTCAAATTCAGTCTTGACGACCAGGCAAACCGGTTATCCACGTTATTGTTGTCGGAGTATCTATATCTTTACCTGTCCCTCTCTTTCTCTATTCCAACATATATATATAATATTCCAATGCTATTTATTTAGGTTTTAATTTTTTTTACTTACTTTATTGCTTTATTGTTGTGCTTTGGCTCTTCTCCGAGTTACATGTGATGCAGTTGATTTGCTGTTATCATCGCCCGTTCCTCTTAAGGTTTTTAATTTTTTTTTCGGTTTCACATATATTCTTATATATTTGCATTTCGAGTATTCACCTCATTCTAGCGATGCATTTTTTCGTACCTGTTCAGAGGAGTAGAAGAAAATATTTTTAATAAAATATTTACATTCATACCATTTTATAGATTATTTTATTTAAATTTATTGATACTTATTTAAATTTGGAAGAACCTCAATAAAAATCATCAAAAAACAAGTAAGAACGTTGCAGTCGGGCATTACCAACTGCAGAATACTGGCTTACATCCCATCAGCAATATCGTAGCTAAGTTTTCAGTTTCTCGCTCTAATATTGTAGAAAATGCAGCTCTTCCCGATTTGTCACGCCCCTGCTGAGCGTAGACACCTCATCTTTTGTCAGCTAACGGTATCCTAACTGCAAAATGTTGACGCTCAAGCTCCAAAATGTGAATATTACAGGATATTTTTTGATAGAGGAGATTACTAGATTACTACTACTATCCGCCGTAGCTTTTTGGTGTTGGGGGGTCAGCCCGACCACCGTAGTCGGCGTAAACATTAACCTTTATAGAATCGCAACATTATCTTACGTGCGAAATTTCAGCGCTCTAGCTCTAAAACTGTAGGATTTAAAGTTTTACCCGATTTGCCACGCCCCCAATCGGCGTAGATATATCCGCCATAGCTCATGATATAAATCGGAGATATACACGAGCATGTGCTCCAAATTCAAAATTTTTAGCTTCAATTGCCGAAATAAACAGATGGACAGGTGGACCAACGGACGGACAGCAAGACGGACATTGCACAATCCAATATACTCATTTCACTTTCGTTAATGAGTATTATAATGCTCATGTATTGCACATAATGAAGTTTACCACGTGTTTTTGCATAACCGGCGAATCCTTAGGTTTCTTAACATTTCTGTTACTCAACTTATTTCAATTAAATTTTCAGCATAAAAAAAAAAAAAAAAAAAAAAATCATTTAACATATAAATTGAAGGATTAAGTCCAAGTCGTATATAAAATAGTTATTTCAATTTAAAAAATATGTTGCATTTTTGAAATATATTTATATTAAGCTCTAAAGGCGTACAAAACATAGCATTAGAGAAATATCTGCAGTGTATATTTATAATTTACTATGGACAGATGGACAGACAGTAAGGCAGGTAATGAACAAATACAATATACGCATTTCAGTTCATGAATTAGTATAAAAACTAGGCAATTAAAAACCACGCCTTTGCTACGCAAATACGCTCAGAAATGAATGGAGCAGCTTAAGTTATGACCGATCCGGCCTTTACGTCACGCAGACAGAACATCACACACCGACACGAAAAGAGAGAGAGAAACAAGTAAGAAAACTCTAGTCGAGAGTGCTCGATGCACTCAATATCGATGTATTTAAAAATATAAATCAAATACAAAACTCACAAAAATATAAAAATATTTTGAAACAATTAAAAAAATTAACATCAGTTGCGCCGCTCTGGATTCAAACCCGAGACTTCTCGATGGAGCGTCACGCCCTACTCACCACACCACCTCACTTTTGCAAGCTGGGCTGGCAAAACTGAAATAGATTCACTGCTGTAGCGCCATCTAGCAAAACTAAACCAAACTAACAGCTGATGTGATTCTAAGAATATGCTAGAAGAAGTTTGAATGTATGGGTGCACACGTATACGAAACTATTGTAGCTGCTGGACGTGCGTCTGTTAATTGGCCAAACATTTTATCATAACGTCGATTGACTTAACGGAATTTAATGAAACTTTCAGCATATGATCTACATATTCTTTTGAATATTTGACAAATTTAAAAAAATTAAAAATCATTCACAATTAGCTATACTGGCATCTGACTTGAACTTGAATGTTTTTATTCGATAAAAATATAACGGGATGATTTATCGAATTTTAAAAGCAAACTCGACATCTGCGCTGTATATACGGTCATTTAAAAAAAAAAATTCAATTCTCTAGCTCTTATATCTTCTGAAATCGACGCGTTCAAACATACGGACAGACGGACGGACAGACAGACAGACGGACAGGGCTAAATCGACTCAGCTCGTCGCCCTGATCAAGAATATGTATACTTTGTGGGGTCTGCCCCGCCTCCTTCTGCTTGTTACATACATTTCAACAAAACCATTATACCCTGATTTCCCATTTTTAATGGGTTCAGGGTATAAAAACAATAAGAAATGTGAAGTAAGAAATGAAAACAAAACAACTCAAAATTCGATTAAAAACCACATGAGGTGTTCTGTGCAGCACGCAAGAGAGTTAAGAGGCAGAAGAGGGAGCGAGAGATGGGGCATAATTTAAAGACAACTTTACATTTGCTGCAAGTAAATAAACTTAATAGCTTTTTGCTTTTGTGTCAAATATGGCATTCAATTGGCCCCCCAACCGCAGACGGCGAGCAATGTTTTAAAATACCAGTTTTATTTTAGCACACTTCGTCTACAAATTTATTTCGGCCAATATCTAACAAGTAAGAAGGCTCGAGTTGAAACTGCTCGACTAGCAGATACCCTGAACCCTCTAAGCTGATATTCGAATCATTCTGCACTTCTTTTATGCACACATGCATACATAAGCATTTATTTGTTAAATAATTTCTTTTGTAGACATACAATCTTAATGAAACTTTCAGAGCGTAATCATATGGTAATAATGTGTGTACGTTCCAAAGCACAAGTCCCTAGTACTTGAAATGCAAATTTACAAATTTGGGGGCGAAGGGGGCGTGGTATCCAAAATCTGTAAATTACAATATCTTCGTATCGATCAGCTGTATATACACAGTAAATCTCTAGGTCTAAAATTGTTAAAATTAGGCTGAAAAACAAAATCAATTTTTCGATTATTCTTGATAAAAAAGTTATCGTATGAGTTATCGAAAAAATAAAAAAATTATTGTACTGCGTATGGTACACACGAGTATGCATGCCAAATTTCCGCTCTCTAGCTCTTAAATCTTCTGATATCGGCTTGTACATATGGACGGACGGACGGGCTATTTCGACTCAGCTCGTCGTGCTGATCAAGAATATATGTATATGGTATACTATGAATATATATATATATATATATATATATATATATATATATATGCGATGATTCCTTCTGACCGTTACATACTTTTTCACAAAACCATTATACCGATTTCCCATTGAAAATGGGTTCAGGGTATAAAAACGAAAAAAAAAAAAAACCGTCACGGGCGCAGAAACACGCAGTCAGTAACACTTGCGGAGGGGGAATGGACAGGCGTATCGAAACGGGAGCACCGTTCGAGTGGCACCAGAATACAAAATTTTGCAGCAACAGCACCAAATACAGAGATGGTAGAATGATACACGAATCCTGCCTGAGTACATCTAAATAAGTAATCCATATCTAACTATTTCATTGCACTTTGGCGTATTTAAAATAATGGACTTCGTTTCGATTTCGATTATAATTTATTAATTACACTTTCCTATTTCTGCATTTTTTTCATATGTCAGGATAAAATGCATGAAAACGTGACACGACACACCTCGTGTTTACGCGACGCCTGAGCTATTGGTATTCAAGACCAAAAAACGCAATGGTTTTATTCTAGAATGCAACGCGATATGACATCATGATAACGGTTGCCACATAAACGTAGTATTTGCGAGGGACTGCAAAAATACGAGACGTGCACAAAACCAACAACAACAAACGCAAACAACTACGAAAACGATTGACGGCGTTGGTGGCAACAAAAGCAGCAGCAAGAGCAACCCTCAAGATGACGTTGACCCCGAAAATGATGCAAAGCGTAATGTGTGAAACGGCGAATGTATATGAAAACAAAGTAAAATCTAATAGCAAAATACAGCAAGTGCGAACGAGAAGGCGCATGCATAAAAACACACAGACGAGGCACCAGACGGAATGCCCGAGAGCAAGAAACGCCGGGTCGACGTCAGCGTCGGCGTCTGCGTTCGTAAGGATAGACATGTAAAACGCAATGCGTATAAAAACATGTAGACAACAGGAGGACAACAAAAATCCGAGCCCAACCACATTTAGGCGGCGGCCAAAACAGACAGAGAGAGAGAGAGAAAGAGAGCGAGGCCTCTCACAAAATGAGCAGCAGAGGGAATGCGCATGTGCACAAAACTGAATTTAATGATTTTCTGTGTGTATGTGTGAGTATTGCTATAAGGGGCGGAAGCTAGGTATTCAACAGCAGCGCACCAACAAAAATAATAAATAAATAAATAAAAATAAAAGCAGCAGCAACAACCAAACGAGTGACAGTACAGACACACAAATAAGCGAAAATGTTTCACATGCAAGCCGCCAAATTTTGCAGTGAGTGGCGGCGCCGTCGTCGCACCGCTTATGAATGAAGGCGCACGCCTGTCCCCTGACTTGCATGAGTCTGTGCTTGTGTCTGTGGCTGTGTCTGTTCGGTGCCTGTCTGTGTGTGTGTGAGTGAAAGAGAGACAGAGAGGTTGAGAGCGCGCGCAAAATGGTGTCGTTGGCCCCTGTCTGGGGCGCTCTGTTGTAAAAATGTGGTACAGTGACTACCAAAAAATACTAGCAAAGCGTAGTATAGTAAAAAGGCCTAAAGCTAAAGAGTGAGAGCAGGATAAACGATGCATTCGCCATCAGGTGGTGTTGGTAGTGGTGGTTGTAATAAGAGATACGAAAGCAGTTTTAAGTAGTAAACTTTTTGTGTGCATGTGCATATGCGAACATGTGTGTGTGTAGTTATAGAAGTAGTATTTTGTAACGCGGCGCCTGTTTCTGTATTTGTTTGGCACCTAAATGTAACAGACCATTGCGAAAATGTCTAATGAGAAGCATACACTGAAGACAGCTTTTGGTGGGAAGGGGCTAACGGGTCTAGACATATGTACATACATACATATCTACATCAAAAGAAGCCGCCTAATTAAAAAGCCATTACAATGTTAAAGCCATCGCCTATGCACGATAATCAAACATAAATTTTGCACAACCACAGAGAAAAAGAGACGAGCCAGAGATAGCGAGAGAGAGAAGGAAAGAGAGGATGGCTACGACAGATAGAAAGCACGAA